TATGTTGCCCAGAAAAATAAAAGTCATTTCAAAGGTAGATCTTATCAAATTAATTTTGCAAAGACCTACCATGCATGGCAGACTTATGAAATGGGCTATCAAGTTGGCCCCTTTTGATTTGCAACATTCTCCGTTAAAGGCAGTTAAGGGACAGGCAATAGCAGATTTTTTGGCAGAATTCTCACAGGTCGGGTGCACATCTTATGCGAGTACCCAAACTTGGTCAATGATTTTTAATGGTTCTATTTCTTGAAATGGATCGGGTGCAGGAGTTTTGTTAAAAGGACCATATGGCCAAAAAATCAAATTACAGCTACAATTAGAAGTTATGACCCATAATTCGGCAGAATACGAGACTTTAATCTTGGGATTGGAAGCTTTAATAGCCAGGAATGTTCAGTCGGTGATCATAAGAAGAGATTCTCAGTTGGTAATCAATCAGGTAACCAAGCAATATGTTTGCAATTATCCTCATCTACGCAGATACAGGGATATTGTGTGTCGGTTGCTATCAAAAATCTCAGAGGTGATAATTGAGTTCATCCCTAGGAAAGAAAACCAATTTGTAGATGAATTAGCTCAAAAAGCTTGTAAAGGAATTCCAAAAGATATCTGTGCAGAGATCGAGTCGGAAACAGAAGATGGGACCGACTGGAGGACAGAAATTGTCATGTACCTACAAAATCCAGGAGCGAGTGTGCCGATAGGAATACGGTTAAAGGCTCTACGATTCTAGTTGATAGAAGGAGTCTTATACAAAAGGATGTTCGATGGATTACTTTTAAGGTGTTTAGGGTCTAAACAGGCTCTGAAAGTCATAACAGAAGTACACAGTGGGATCTGCGGAGCTCGTCGAGCAGGTTTGAATATGAGATGGGCTATTCATCATTTGGGTTTTTGTTTTGACAAAGATTTTTTAAGATTGTATACAATTTGCTAAAGGTTGCCAAGAATGTCAAAAACATGGACAGCTGAATCACTTGCCAGTCACCGAATCGCAAGCTATGGTAAAACCATGGCCTTTCAAGTCCTGGGCTATGGACATTATTGGTAAAATACATCCTCCTCATCCAAACATCATTGTTTTATCTTGGTTGCAACAGATTATTTCACCAAATGGGTCGAGGCGGCTGCTTTGAAAAATGTTGATCAAAAGGAAGTGATTGATTTTGTGCTGAATTATATTATTTATAGGTATGGTATTCCTCATTCCATAACCACCGACCAAGGTTTGGTTTTCACTGGGGAGAAATTTCTAAGTTTCTTGGTATAATTTGGTATTCGGATAAACCATTCTTCACCTTATTATCCCCAAGCTAATTGACAATCAGAGGCGGCCAATAAGATTATTATTGGGATTGTAAAGAAGACGGTTGAAGGAAATCCAAGAAAGTGGCATTTATTGTTACCTCAGGCCTTATGGGCACACAGGAATAGCAGAAGTTCGGCCACGGGATTTTCACCATATCAACTTACTTTCGGGCAAGATGCTGTGCTACCAGCCGAAATTCAGGTATCATCTGGACGTACAAGTTTTACTACTGGAGAGCTTACTGAGGAATATCAACAAGTTATGTTGCAGCAATTGGAAAGTTTGGATGTCAACCGACTTCATGCGATTGATCAAATTGTAAAGCAGAATGGAATTAGGGCAAAGTTTTATGGACAAAAGGTCCTTTATAAAACTTTCAAAGAAGGAGATTTGGTTTGGAAGACCATTCTTCCTACATACAAGAAGATTGGTCAATTAGAAAAGTGGTCTCCGAATTGGGAGGGGCCATTTATTATTCAAAAAGAGATTGGAAATTGTGCCTTTATTATAATAAATCAAGAAGGAAAAAGAGTGCATGATTGTATTAATGCTAGATATCTGAAGAGGTATTTTCCTATCTTTTCGGATAAAACAAATGCATGAATAAGAAGTTTTATTTAGAACCCAAACATAGAGGGTTTGGACCCAAAGTGGGGTTAATTCATTATCAGACATTGATATATGCGGGGGACTTCCTTTTTCTGAGTTGGAATCTTCATCCCAGTGATTAGAAATTAATTCTGGTTCTTCATCAAGAAGGTCTTCTAAATCAGGTCGGTATCTTTCCCATTGATTCTGCATTTCTTTTAAGTCGTGATTAGTATGAGCTTGCATGTCGTTCACGATCAACAAGAGTGCGTAGTCTTGAAAAGGCTGTACGCTGATTGAAAAATATATGATCCCACCCAAGGTCTGGAAGTATGGCTATTACGTGATGTTCAATTAGGTCCATATGGTGATCGATATCATGAAGGCGGCTTAGGATGTCACGAAGAGTTTCATATCCTCCCAGAACGTTTTCCATCAGGCGAATAATACGATGAATGGTTTTTCTTCTTCGTTGGGAAAATCTGAATTTGAAATCCAGTTGTTTGAGTATGCGTAACAAGTCTTCAGCATGGCCACCGATGGGATGGTTACCCACAAAGAAGGGTTGAAGAACACCTTCCTATTTTTTTGAAGGAACATGGGGTCGGTTGTGTGACATTTTAATAAGTACTTCAGGTATGCTCAAAGTTCAAATCGTTTCTTAAAAAGATTGTGTATTTTATTACGATGGGGCAATGATTTTTATAAGAGAAGTAAGTTTGATTTGGTCACTGGAGATTCAGAGTACGGAAAGCGATCCTTATTGATAGGGGAAACAAAAAATATTTACCAAGTCAGAATGGGAGATATCTTCTATTTCCTGCAAGGGACCTCTTGGTTGGGCTTCCGCGGACGGTTCCATTGCCCGTCTTACCGCCTCTGGATTAGGGACGGCTGCCTTCGCGACGGCTGCGCATGAAACAGTGTAAGGTTGGCACTGTACTACCAATTCCTAAACGTCACCAGAAGTAACGCTTAGGAGTCGGGCGGGAGGAGGCAAGTTATTGAGTAAAAAATAATAATAATAATAATGTATAGGGTTTATAAATTAGATTGATATATAGTGCAACGGGCGAAGAAGGATAAGACGGCCAATACGGAGGTCGGTCAAAAGTAAGTCGATGGAAGAAAGATGAGACGGCCGATACGGAGGTCGGTCAAAAGGAGGTCGGGCGAAGAAGGATGAGACGGCCGATACGGAGGTCGGTCAAAAGGAAGTCGGGGGAAGAAATATGAGATGACCGATACGGAGGTAGGTCAAAAGGAAGTCGGGCGAAGAAGGATGAGACGGTCGATAAGCAGGTCGGACAAGATTAAGTCGGGCAAAGGAGGATTAGACGGATGATACGGAGGTCGGACAAAATGAAGTCGGGTGAAGAAGGATGAGTTAGCCGATAAGGAGGTCGGACAAGACAAGGTCGGGCGAAGAAAGGTCTATTAATTGGTTGCTTAATTAAGCGACCTGTTAATCGCCTGATAGGTTGGCCGGTCCTTTGGTCAAACAGTAGTTCAGTTGCTTGAGAGGGCGGTCAATTGGTTGCTTGATTGAGCGACCGAAGAGCCGTCTGGACGAATGGTTGTTCAGCCAATTGAAGGGACTGGATGGTGGTAGCTCGAGTGGGCAACTGATTAGTCGTTTGGTCTAACTACCAGTTAATATCTGGATTGGTCGGTTGGTCAATCGCTGGGTTATTCGGTAGGTTCAGTCGGTGGATGGTCCAGGCAGTCGGTCGACCTGCAGTCTGTCTAAAGTTTGCTGGGCGGTTGAGTGATCGTTCAGGACTAGCCGTCCATTTAAGGAGGTAAGGTGCAAGGAGGCGGTCGGTCGAGCCAATTGGATCCTATAACTGGTGGGAACGGTTGGTGAAACAGTTAAAACACATGTCAATGGAGGAGGAATTAGCGGGCGGTTGACGGAAGTTGCTATAACCGACCAGGCGGCGTTTTGAAACGTTTCCTTAGGGAATATTTAAAGATTCAGGTCCCTCTTGGAAAAGGGATCTTGAATCTTCAATCGACATCAAATTCAGTGAATTTTTTTTGGGATCACTTTTTACTTTTAGTATTTACTTTTCGTATTTTATTTATGTATCATACGGTGTTTAGGGATTCTTAATCTCAGGCATTTATTTTATCAAATTCGAAGATAATTTCTATTTTTGGATTTTACTTTTTATTGTTGAAAAAATCAATCAACACATATATTAGTTTATATTTAATAATAAAATTAAAATTAAAAATAGATTGATTTTTATTTACAATATTAATTATAATTTTGTGTTATGCCTCAGGTATTGATTGTCCCAACGCGCTCAGTTTCTCACCCATTTTAATCATACTTTAACATCCTTTGTTTTGTAATTCTCTTATTTTTTAGGAAATATTTTTCCTGTGAGTTTCTGCTCAATCTTTCGACAATGTTTCTTTCTTTTTTGACCATTCAATACAGTTTTTTTGCCCTCATTTTAGTTCACTGGAATTAAAAAATATTGAGATTGTACCTAATCAAAAGATGATACAATATTTTAAAGTATAATATTTTTATAATATTTTATTTTGTTATTGTTTTATACTTTGTATAAATAATTTAATAGTATAACTTTTTTTTTGTATATTATAGATATTTTCTATTATTTTCTCTTTAAATAACACTACTAGATAAATGCTAGATTGGTACAAAAAAGTGGCACAGTAAGATGCAGGAGTATAATAGTTACGAAATACCGTGCCAAGATAATTAAATATAAGTACTCATAAATAAGACACAGAAATTTGTACCTATTTTTTTATTAGAAAAGATTAATAAAAGTTTTTATTTAAGTGCTATAAATAATTTTTTTATTAAAAAATAACAAAAAAATAATCACTCCAGAAATCGGCACCATTTTCCTTATTAAAAGTAAAAAACAAAATTTCATTCTAACAAAGATGCCAAAATCGGCACCACTTTTTTTTATTAAAAAGAAAAAAAAAGGCATAACAAACGATTATCACATAATGGAGACGCCGAAATCGGCACCATTTAAAAAAAAAAAAGAAAAAAAGCATACCCAGCTGCTTTCTCTATCACTCTCAGTTCTTTCTACCACCATCTTGGCAGCCTTCTAGTGCCACGGTGCAGAAGCCAAATTGTCCACACCAGAGTTAAAAGTCACGTACCATCCAGTCAGGTCAGAAGTTCTAATAAAGTTGGATCAAAGAACAGTAAAATCAATAACCAATTTGATTCAAAAGGAACAAGTGTGTTCGGCAGCAGCAAAAGGCAAAACCGCACACAGAGTCTTTCGTTGCCTGCCAAACGGCGCCCATCTGTTCGAATGAAAATAAGCATTGATGTGCATTTGAACAAGAAAAATGCTGCAAAGGTTGAGTTCAATATTTCAGATCGGATTCTAACCGTGCGATCAGTGCAGGGATTCCTAAACTAGGCCTTCCCCATGGATCTATGACGAGACCTACTACTGATCTGTATGCAAATTACCTTTTACTTTCAGAAATCAAATTTATTGTGCATTGACTTACATTCATAATATATGGATTTTCTTTATGTTCTGTCTATATGGTTGGTTGAGAAAAATTCTGACATTAGCCCCAATCTGCTTGTGAAGGATGAAGAGGATGCTCGATCTGCTACCTCCTCATCGTATGTTCAAAATCTTAGATTTCCTTATCTGGTTTCGACTCAGCATAAAATGTGTTCTTCAAATAGGATTCTTACTCCCAAATCAAGGCACAGGATTAATGTGTGGGCATTCTCCTTCAAGCTAGAGGAGCGAGCTAAAAAACGAATAGAGGTTGCACTGAAAATATTGTGTTTGATATTTATTTATTAGTTCTCAAGTTTCTTAACATAAAAAATTTGGTCAAATTGGTTTGTTTACTATCAGTTTTTTTCAAAGATAGTAGAGAAAATTCATGCCAAATAAATTGAACAAAGTAATTTGCAAGCTAGATTGAATGTGACGAACAAGTTGAGGTCATGATTACCAAGAATAGTGCAATGCAAGGTGTATCTGATTTCCTCTATTTACATTATTATTATTTTCAATGTAATAGGAGCACCAAGGAAGACCTTGACATTTAAAGCCACACCTATGCTAAGTTTCTACAAAGAAGGCAAGTATTTGATTGAGATATCATCAATCAATAATTAATGTGTGTGTGAATTTCTTTTAATAAACACAAAGAGGTAGATTAAAACTTACTTTTATTTAAGTTGTAATCTAATTCATTCCATTAAATCCAATCTGATCCAGGTTTGATGGTAGCGCCATACCATGCATTGTATATGGATTAACTTATAGACATTACCAATCCAACTATTCGGATTACTGATGTCCAAAATCTCCAAAGCTTTGACATCAAAAAGTATTTTGAAGACAACAAGGACATTGTGGATCTCTTTGAGAAGCTACTTTACTTTCTAAACTGCCATCTATTACTCAAAGTTTTGATAACTGGTGTTTTGTTGGATGATTTGTTCACGGTAGAGTATACATTTCTTCTATCCTATAGCATACATATCTTGCCTGTTCATTTTACACTTCAATGTGTTTTCATGCAGTGAGATTGCTCAAGGCTTAGTTGTCTTAAAAATTGAATATGTTAAGAGCATTAACATTGTGTATTGATCTGGCTATAAAGAAGAGAGCAACTATTGTAGGTATAGCTTGTGAGAATGGGTATTGATGGAATATTGTGAAATCTCTTGCAGCAGGTATTGAAATTCTCGCAACCAATTTTAATTTTACCAAACTACTTCAACTCAATGTCAAGTATTTTTTAGATTCCGATAACACCAGCTTTCATCTCAACAGATTTTCATTGTTTCAATTTATATTGCAACAGAGTTTATGCAAAGAGTAAGTTCTTCTCAAATTGGTACATATTGTATATTATAATTCATTTATTTTATTATTTATTTTTTTATTATATTGGCGGCACCAAGATTCTAGTTTTATATTCTATTTTTGTGTCAATTTCCGCGCCAAAGTTTTATTTCAAAATTTTTTATTGGCGCAAATTTTGGTGCCAAAATAAAAAATGAAAATAAAGATAGGTGTTGATTTCCACACTATTTTATTTATTTATTTATTATGTTTGTGGTATTGATCCCTGTTACTCATTGCATGCCAATTAACTAAATTTGTGCAGTTAGTGTAATTTATATATTAACTTCTATTTAATAATAATATTATAATAAAATTATTTATTTTTATTTATAATATATGTATTATACTATTTATATTTTTTCATTTAAATTAATATTTCTCATTTATTTTAAATAAAAATATAAATATTGATGATGTAATGGAGTTCTTATAATTTTTTTCAAATATATTTGTATATATATATAAGTTTTCAATAAATCTATACAATTTTATTTTATTTTTCTTTATTTTTGATATATTTTTTTAAAAATAAATTTATATTAAATATCCATGATTAATATAAAAGGAAGAAGAAGCAAGATTGCGTGGATGGATTATTAATTGAGGCACCCGTTTTAACTTATTTACATAATTCGAAGAAACGGGTGGGTGCGTGGAATTAATTATTACACTGGAATTCTACATACTTATTGCCATTGCCCTCTGGCGACATGAATATATATATATATATAAAAGTAAGTTAAGCAGTGACAGAAGTCTCCACTACAATAATCCCTCCTGAGTAGTTAATATTAACTTCACCAAGCTGTTGCTGCTGCTGCTGCTGCTGCTGCGTCTCTGCTTCCCAAAGCTCCGGTATTGCTTCCCGGAGATTGTGAATGCTTTCCAGGGCATAATCTGCTCCCTTCACCCTCTGGGATTTACCCACCTTAACATTATATATGTATATATTATATATCGAGACTGAGTTGGTTTGTTTGCTTGCTTGCAATATATGTATATATATGTTTGTGCTAGCCTCTGGATTATTTAAACAATATTGGATGAATGACTCACCAAGACAGTATCGAGTCCTATGTGTTTTCCGGACTGAATGTTTCGGACGCTGTCCTCAAAGAATAGCTGAGACAATATATGGACTCAACAAATTAAAATTCAGTCAGTCTTATATATCACACAGATAAACAAATTCAAGTGGCAAACTCACTTACTGTTCTCTCAGGATCGATGTTGGCAATTCTTAGAGCTGTTTCAATGGCAGATATTGATGGTTTGCAGACGATGGGCGTCTTTGGCAGTCCACAAGGTCCTGCCTTAGGCTGAGAAAAATGCCCAATAATATCGAAAATTTGTGCTGGCTTCCTATTTATAGCAGTAGCAGTAGCAGTAGCAGGAGGGGGGTTAAGAGTTTCAAAGCAAATGATCCCTTCAAAACACCCTTCCAGACCCAGTCTGCTTAGAGCTTTAATGGCGTGCGCTTTATCTGCGTTTGTGAAGATCTGTCCATCGCGGTCGTATCGTACCAACTTTTAGAATTTTTTGTCCCAATTCCAAATATAAATAAATATTTATATACTACTATATTCATTCTTACAACTTTGCGGATGGGCAGGCTTTGTAAAAGGCTTCTCAAAATGGGATCCGGTTTCAAATTGTCGTAAGGTAATCTCCCGTGGACAAAACTGCAACATGCAAGGCCCAATATCGTATGGTTCAGAAAAATCATACTAATATATAAATAAAACTGAAGTGAAGGAACATTTACAATTTAATGGCACGAATACACACTACTACATCGTACGCACCTATGATATTCATCGTGGTCGAAATCATAACCAATTGCCTGCATATATTTCAACAAGTCTTTCAATTATACAAATTTGAATTCATACATCAATGAATTAATGCTTATAATAAATATACCCTGAGGCCTGCCATTGTGGTGCCATAGTTCTTGTACAGCAGATTGCACAAATCAGGGATTGTGCTCTCTTCTACGCCCAACTTTTCAACCATATAGTCTGACATGCAGATCAAAAGAAAGTGATATGAAAATTCTATTGGAAGCAATTAAAAAGAAAAGCAAAGGATTAATTGGTCTCACCTTGAATGTTCTTCAGAACAGCTGGTGCCAGCCCACAACTTAGAGGGTAGAGAGTATCATCAAGATCTAAACAAGCGTTAGATTAAATTAAAGAAAGATTAATTAATAAATAAATAAATAAAAAGCTTTGGTCCCATTATTTAATTATCCCGGTCAAATCTGGTAGCATTCAAAGATACTTAATTGTCTGGACTGGAGGTAGATCAGATGGTTAATTTACCAAATACAAGGCATTCATATTTTGGGTGTTGAACTTGGACTTGAACCTGCAGCCTGTATCGGTCCTCGTATTCCATGCCCATCCCTAAAAGCTTGAGTAGAAAAGTGAAATAAGTAAATCGATCGGCACAAATACATACTTCCAAACAACTCATATATATATATGTAGCTTAATTGATACTAGTCAGTATAAGATATAAATGTGTTTGTTTGGGGGTTTGGATTTTGAGTTGGGATTTGAATAGTAAAAATTTTGAATTTGAATAGTTGTATGATGTGATATAAATAGGGGTTGATGTGATGTTTTGAATGTAAAATTGATTTTTAGTATAATATAAAAAATGAAAAATAAATGTTTGATTTGATGTTTTTAGGGGAAAAAAATGAAATGAATAGTAGAAATCCAACAAAATCTTTCAAACAAACACACCTTAAGTAAAATGCATCTTAGCTTCGTGGTAAATCATATGAAAATTTCATTTAATCATCAGCCTATATATCTCAACACCAAGTCATGTTGCAATTAAGTAATAACAACTCTAAAGCCACCGCATTCTTCCGCAAAACAAGCTAAAAAATAAAGCTACGTTTTATATATCCATCACACAGGTATCCAGGAACAAAGAAAAGGAAAAAGCCTATGATAGGAACGAAGTACAAAACAACATCGATCATAGCCATAGGTCAATCAAAAAAAAAAAAGTCTATCATCTCAAATCATATCTAGCTACGTACGTCGGCCATCAAAATTCGCAACGAACAGCTCAAACATGTGTACTGCGATTCAATGGTACAGACGGATATATGCATGGAGCTAGCGGGGAATCCAGATGTAAATATCAGATATCGAAATTACCTAAACAACAATGAGAACGCCAATTAGGGCAGGAAATGATGGATGGATTAGCGTCCTAGAGAGAGCAGAATTGCTTGGGGAAGCTAGCAATCGTTTCTCCTTCGATATGAATGAAGAAGGCGAGGGGAAGTAAAACGAAGGCGCACGCTGAGCTTAAATAGGCGTTTTCCTTGTAATCTTTATTTTATTTTATTTTTCTTAAAAAGACATAAATAAATATTTTAATCCTCGACATGTTTAATACGTTTTGCGAAAATGATATTGAAAAGTAATCTGGAATAATTTAAAATCCGACTTGCCAGCCAGCAGTACTTTCTGGACTCCCTCCCTCCCGTGAATTTACCTTTTTGCCCCCCTCACATCCTTGATATTCACTATCTTTTTTCTGAGGAAATGGTTCAAACACTGTGTGTCAGAGAGAGGCAAATATCATGAGGAATTGGTATAAAATTACATACAATATATTGCATATAAAATTACATAAGTTTTTTCGAAATAATTAATATATTATAAATATTTGTTATTTTTATATAATTTATATAATTTTTTATATTTCATATAAAAATATATCATTTTAAACTATTTTACAAAATAAACATACAATTTACTATTACATTCTCAAATCCTTTTCAAAAAATATATCTACTAATAACTTTTTATTTTTATTTTTCACTTAAATAATTAAATATATTTTTATATACTATAATTTATAAACCTATTTATATTATTTATTTTGTTTTAGATATGAAGACCGATTATATCCTGAAATTTAGGGATATGACTGAAATATTATATCATAAATTTAGAGATATGATTGACATAGTCATTGGGTTTGCTATACTATAAATATGTATGTATTTTCACTTTAACATGTGTTTGCGTATGTAGATCATTCCGATCGAACTGAGTTATCAAATTCTTGTGTTCTTAGTGTCCTTATTTTTTTCTTCTTGATTTCCTAAATTTTCGTAACAAGTGGTACCAGAGTTATATATGATTGATTGAAAATTTCTTAGTATAAGTTTAATATGAAGAAGTTTAATAGCTCGAATGACTTCACGCTCTGGAAGGTCAAGATGAAGACACTTCTGGTTCAACAGGAATGTGCGGCTGCGTTGGAGGGAGAAAACAAGTTTTCTAAAGACACGAATGAAGAGGTGAAGAATGGGATTTTGGCAAAGACCCATTCTGTGATCTTGTTGTCAATTATTGATGAGGTGTTACGAGAGGTTGTAAATCAGACGACGGCTTCTGGGTTATGGGATAATCTAGGCAAGAAGTACTAGAACAACTCTCTAACAAACATGCTATATCAGAAGCGACTTTACATCCTCTGGATGTCTAAAATTACTCAGGCAAACGATCATCTCGATGCTTTTTACCGTATTATTCTTGATTTTCAAAGGGTTGAGGTTAAAATAGATGATGAAGATTAAACCCTAATTTTCCTGTGTTAACTACTTGGTTCATATGAGAATTTTGCGGATACTATATTGTATGGGAGAACTACAATTTTTGTTAATGACGTAAAAGAAGCTTTTCTATCTAAATAATTAAAAAAAAAAAGGTTTTTAGGGAAAAGAGTTCTGGTTCAGGTCTGTTTGCACGTAAATGAAGACCACAGAAGATGGGTAATAGGAATGGGAAGTCGCATTCAAGATCAAAATCCTCTGGTAAGGACAAGAAAGATGCAAGTAAGGTGGTATGTTGGAATTGCAACAAAAATGGACACTTGAAACGATAGTGCAGGGCACTGGAGAAGAATCGGGGTTTGGCAAACGCCACAGAAGAGATATCTGATGTGCTAATTTTGAGCATCATCAGTTCAATTGAGTCATGGATCTTGGACCCATGAGCATCATTCCACTCATGCAGTGATTCGATAATCATAAAATTCTATACTGCATGTAATTTTTGTGTTGTCTATCTTACAGATAACGAGCTACTAAAAATTGTAGGTAAATGGATGATTCGAATTAGAACACCGAATGGTGGGGAGTGGAGACTGAATGACGTGAGGCATATCCCAGATCTGAAACGGAATCTGATTTCCGTGGGACAATTTGATGAGGCAGGTTACTCGAACGTTTTTTAAACTAAGTCGTGAAAGGTAACCAAAGGATCCATTGTGGTGGCTCAAGGGAGAATAGATGTAACTCTCTAAATGATATGCGAGACGGAATCGGTTCCGTGGCCATAAATAGTGACACAAATTAATGGGATTCTCGTCTCGAACACATAAGCGATAAGGGGATAAAAAAGCTCATTTCAAAGGAAAGATTGTCAGATCTCAAGTCCGTGGATATTGGAATATGCGAGGACTGTATCTTAAGGAAGCAATGAAAGATGATGTTTTCAAAGGGTTGGAGAGACCTGGAAAAAGAAAAGTTGGAGTGAATCCATATTGACTTGTGAGGACTAGCTCCTGTATCGACCCTTGAAGGCTCATAATAGTATACCGCGTTCATTAACGACGCTACAAGGGAGGTATGAGTATATTTTCTTAAATATAAATATGATATTTTTGATACCTTTAGGAGGTGGAAAGCATGTGCAGTGGGAGTGTAGTGAGCCGATTTATGAGCAATCCTGGAGGACAACCTAAGGTGAGGACCTTAGATGAATTGAGGTTGTGTTCAACCTCAATTGACCTCCATAAGTGAAGAAGAAGATTTGGCATTGTATTGCTGATGAAGTAAAATGTGAAGATGAGATATGTAATAAGTCTTCAAGTGTAAATTGTAGGCAAATGGATGTTCGAATCAGAACACCGAATGGTGGAGAGTGGAGACTGAATGACGTGAGGCTTGTCCCGGGTTTGAAACGGAATCTGATTTCCGTAGAACAATTAGATGAAACATGTTACTCGACAGTTTTTGAAACTAAGTCGTGGAAGGTAACCAAGAGATCCATTGAGGTGGCTCAAGGGAGAAGATATAGAACTCTTTACACGACGAAAAGCATGCGAGACGGAATTAGTTCCGTGACCATAAATAATGACATAAATTTATAGCATTCTCGTCTCGGACACATGAGCGAGAAAGGGATAAGGGAGCTCATTTCAAATGGAAGATTGACATGTCTCAAGTCTGTCGATATTGGAGTATGCGGGGACTGTATCTTTGGGAAGCAACGAAAGATGACATTTTCAAAGTCCGTCGATATTGGGGTATGCGAAGACGGTATCAATCGGAATGATCTTCTAGGATTTGCTAGGTTATAAATATCGATGTATTCTCACTTTAACATGTACATGCGTATTCTATAGTAAAATTTCTAGCTTGAGAGTGCCCCCAGACGTAGATCATTCTGATTGGATTAGGTTACAAAATTCTTGTATTCCTGTGTCTTTGTTTGTTTCTTCTTAATTTCCTGAATTTCAGTAACATATTTATATTTAGACAAAACAGCAAAAAATCCTCCCGTGGTTTACCAAATCTGCTGAAAACCCCCCTACTCCTAAAACTCCAAAAAACCTACTCGTGGTTTGTAAAACGTTGCACACTCGCCCCCCCTTTTAAATCACACTGACGCCGTTAAATTTTAGCCTTATCAGACCGTTATGCCCCTGTGGTTTCTCTCTCTTTTGTTGTTTCTTCTTCTCTTCTCTTCTCCACAACTTTTTTCTTCCATCTTCTTTTCTTCCCCAAATTCTTCTTCACCGATCTTTTTTCTCAATTTTTCTCTTCTTCTTCTCTAATTCTTTTTCAGGCCATAATAGTTCCACCCGCTTCTTTCTTTTCTTCTTTTTCCTCAATTTTTCTCTTCTTCTTCTCCAATTCTTTTTCAGACCATAGCAGTTCCACCTTCTTCTTTTTTTTTTTTCTCCAATTTTATTTTTCTTTCTCTATCTCTTTTTCTCCAATTTTTTTTATCTTTATTTTTTCTCCCTAATTCTTTTGTACACGGTTGCAACCAACAGCAAGTTTTTTCTTTATTCTTAGATTGATTTCAAATCTTGATGTCAAATTGAATTTTTAGATTTCTGGGTTTGGTAAAAACAGAAGAAGAAGTATTTATAGGTTTGGTAAAACAGAAGAAGAAATCGACAGTGAATAATAACTTACGCATTCTCATCTTCATCTCTATATCCGGTCAATTAATTGTGATAAATTTGGTAAAATTTATGTTATGTTTAGCAGATTTAAAATAAAAAAAAATGAATGAGGAAGAAGAAGAAATAAGAAGAATAAGGAAGAAGAAGAACGAGGAAGAAGTTGGAAAAAGTAGTCAATAAGGGTATTTTAGTAATTTTATACAAAAATATATCACTCTATAGACCAAAAATCGCATTTTAGGCGCGTGATATACAACCTCCGTTAAATCCTAACGGATGAGAGATTTTTTGCAACATTTTACAAACCACAAGTAGGTTTTTTGGAGTTTTAGGACTACGGGGGGTTTTCAGCATATTAGGTAAACCACGAGGAGATATTTTGCTGTTTTGCCTTATATTTATGTATAAAATTATATTGAGGGTATTTGATAATTAGCTTTTTAAACAATTTTTAGCTTATTAAACAACTTTTAATTATTTGACGAGTCAAAAAATTAATTATGGTATTTGATAAATAAGTTTTTTGAAACAACATATTAGATCCTAAAAGTTAATTTTTTAAAACATATCTTACCCAACATTTTATAAGAGCCTTTTCATCCCATTTATATTTATTAGATAATTGCCCATAAATATTAATTATTCTCTTTACACATAGTTATAGTTATTATTTTAATATACTTATATTTTGGTAATTATAATTTTATTTTTTTATATTTCTAAGTAATTGAAATTATGAATTATTTTATATAAACAAATTTAAAAATAGCAAAATAAATATATTAAGAGTACATTGACAATTTTCGATAACCAATAATAAAAATTATTAAAAATCTTAAACTTCATATTGTAGAATTGAATATTTTTAAAAAAATTATATAAATTTCCTTGATTGTCATTTTTTTTTTGTATGAACAGCTAATTTAATACCAAACAGTTGTTTTACTGAATATTTTAATACAAACAGCTAATTGAATCAGCTAACAGTTGAAAATTAGTACCTTATTGCTAAACACACCCATTAGCTATAAAATAATATATAATTATATTGCATACTATTATGATTTATTGAAAAATAATTTTTAAATTATTTATTATACATTTTAAATGAAATATACATTACATTATAAATTATCTAAATAATGAAATACTAATATATATATTATTATAAGTAACAATACGGAATTTTGAACAACACTTTGTAGCTAGGATGCAATCACAGCCTTTGATACCAAAGCTAAAATTTTTCCGAGACTGCTTTACCTTTACAGCATAGGTATATATGCTATGCAGCTGTGTGGGGTGTGTTTGTTTGGGGGTTTGAATTTTGAGTTGGGATTTGAATAGTAAAAATTTTGAATTTGAATAGTTGTATGATGTGATATAAATAGGTGATGATGTGATGTTTTGAATGTAAAATTGATTTTTAGTATAATATAAAAAATGAAAAATAGGTGTTTGATTTGATGTTTTTGGGAAAAAATTTTGGATGAATAGTGAAATTTAATTCAAATTCATCAAACGAACACACCCGTATCTTGGAGGTTGGCGTGGGTTGGCTTGGCTACTGCAATGGGGATGGTCCTTTTCCATATTATTATCATTCGTTTATGAACAAATAAAAATAAATTAAATGAGAATGCAATTAACACCCAAATAATAACGTGTCGATCGATAAATGTCAGGGAGGTTGATATCCAATCCAAGTACGTGTCTGTACGTCTCTCGTATATATAATAAGTGAGAATTGGGTGGGGAATTAGAAATGTATACATGGCTGTATGTATGTTTCTTTTATTGGCTAAACGCCAACATAATGGCAGAGAGATATTAAATAAATATATAAGTTGTCAGAATGAAAAGGACCATCCCCATCGCAATCCCCGTGACATGACTACTTTTTTTAAATTGCAAATTAAGGGCCACAATAATTGGATCCCTTCCTTGATTAATAAAATAATATTTGTAATTAAAGTAAGTAGAGAAAGGAATTGCATGTGATTAATGGAGACCACTGTTTTTAACTATACTTATATACATACTAATTATATTATTATTGCTTTTACGCAGCAAACACAACACTACTACTAATAATAATAATAATAATAATAATTCGACAACCAGGAGAGAGTGAGGGGTAGCTTCTTGACTCGTCAATTATTGAGGGAAGGTGACGTGTTTGTCTGTTAGTGGGTTGAGTTGTCTGAAAGCAACACCAACGGAGATTCATTTCATATTAACTATTGTAATTCTAGTTGTAATTTATTATTATAAAACAAAAATAAATAAATAAAAATGAAGTAGCGACGTGGCCGACCGACTCTAGCGTAAATACTATATATATATATATAAGATTATTATTATTATTACATTGTGATGATTCATTCATTGGCAGTTGAGCACTCTAACACAGGAGTCAACACACACACACCTACCTATACCTATACCTATGCCTGCACCTGCGCTACATGCCACATTATTCCAATCATCGTATCTATATATGTATCACACTAACTCGACAGATCACACAGCGGATTCGAAATGAGTTTTGAAGTAGAACCGCTCCGCCAAGAATCATAAGCCCAAAATCTGCTTCACCTTAAATTTATATCCAATCGAAAAGATCGGTTTTGTTTTATAAAATTTATTTATATACATATATTTTTCTTATTTTTATAAGTTATATAATAAAATATTATTCAAAAATTTCAAATATAAAATGATTAATTCTTTTAAAATTCCTATCTCTCATTATATCTTCTTATTCAATTCCTAATAATAATTTTGTTCTATACAATTCCCTATTTATCATTAAGTACTCCATACTTATAAATTTAATTTGCAAACTTACTTTTATACCCTCCCTATAACTTTTTATTTATTTTTATTATTTTATCTCAAAGAAAAAAAAAATTCGAATCAATTTATCCAAAATCTTCCACCCTAGAAACGCGACAACGGCGAAGTAATCGCTTTCTCAGTTTTTTCCACGGTGAAGACAACCAAAACGAATGAAAATTGAAAATGCCCAAGGTTTGAACTTCATCTCAACTTATATATATTCATCTGAGCGCGGGCACCAACACCAATCTAAATGATTGCGATCGTGCACAAATATTACATGTCAAAGTCAAGTTCATACCCTAGTGACTTCTAATGTGGCGCTATTAGAAATATATAGAATTGTATTGGAATCAATATAGATACAAGATAATTTGTTGAATATTCTCGAAAATTAAACCTTTTACGTGACCGTTTGATTGTGACAATTTGTGGAGTAAAGAAAGCCGAGACAAATTGTCTTGTTAAACTGGTCGAGAAAATATTATGACAATATATTGTCTCGAAAATACTCTCAAACTTTGTCAAGATTATATTTTGTCTCAAACAATCATGACAATGTCCAATAAACTATATTTTGTCTCAAAAATTGTTTCATATCCCGAAAATTTGGGACAATACCCAAGACAATATGTTATCTCGAATAACCATGACAATATCCGATATTATATTTTCTCTCGAACAATTGTGATAATTTCTTAGACTATAATTTTTTAGAAATAATTATAAAATTGTTAGCGGAAGCAAATAATGAAATTTAAACAAACCTCCAACTATTGCTAAATATTAAATTTGTTCTTGAGATCTTCTTTTTCAAGCAAACAGTAGGTTGGAACCGTGGGAGTGGGAAGATGGTGTTGCCAAACTCTGGAATCTTTAAAAAGATGTTGTCAGATCTTGGAACCCTAGGATGACGTTGCCAAACTCTGGCTCTCAAATAGCGATGGTGTATTCTAATTTTCTGAGAGTATGTTTAGTAACCCGTATGTGAGAGTATTTATAATTGAAAAAGAAACCGTCTATCACGATTTTTCTGCCACTTCTCACGTATATTTTGAATGTGATGGACTTAATGGGAGAAAAGTAGGCCACAAATTAGGGTTAGTTTAATTATATAAGATAATCTAAAAATAATCAAAATTCAAATATGATTAATTAATTAATGAAACTAACATTCTCCCACTTGGCCCACTCAAACCATCCCAATATAACGAGAAACTTTACATACGAATCATAGCGGTAGGTCTTCTATAAACGAATGTTACCTTCCATGCATTATGATATGTCAAGCATCTCAAACTAAATTCACAACTTAATGAATAAATCTTATATTTATTCCGGGTTAAACTTGAGCGAGTTTTCTCAATAATAAAAAAATATGTGCGCACAATAACGCGAGAAAACGTCAAACTGAATAAGAGTTTCAAATAACAATGTGCGCAAATAAACTACATTGTAGAATCAAGTCTCATACTTGTTACGTGATCCCTGAAATTCTTTAGTGGCGTGCCTTTAGTCAAGGGATCAGCAAGCATCAACTTTGTAATAACGTGTTCAATTACCACTTTATTTTCCTTGACACGTTCTCTTAAGGCTAAATACTTGATGTCGATGTGTTTTCGACTCCCACTCTTATTGTTTTTAGCCATAAACACCACAACAGAGTTGTCACAGTACAACTTGATCGGTCTAGAAATAAAGTCAACGACTCTAAGCTTGGATATGAAACTCTTCAACCATACACCATGCGAGCTAGCCTCGAAACATGAAACAAACTCAGCCTCCATAGTGGAAGTAGCAGTGATAGACTGCTTCGTACTTCTCCAAGAGATAGCTCCACCAGCCAACATGAACACATAACCCGATGTGGATTTTTGAGTGTCAATGCAGCCAACGTAGTCCGAATCGGAGTAGCCAATCATTTCCAAGACATCAGTTTGTCTATACATGAGCATAAAATCCTTCGTACCTTGAAGGTACCTTATCACTTTCTTTGCAGCTTTCCAGTGGTCAACACTTGAATTACTCTGATATCTCTCTAATACTCCAACAACATATGCTATGTCAGACCTGGTGCAAACCTGAGCATACATGAGACTTCTTACTGCTGAACCATAAGGGATATTTCTCATGTGTTCCATTTCAAAGTCATTTTTTGGACACTAACTCAAATCGAGTCTGTCACCCTTAACAATGGGAGCTACACTCGATGAACAATCTTTCATATTAAATCTTTCTAGAACTTTCTTGATATAGGTTTCTTGAGACAAATCCAAAATGCCTCGATTTCTATCTCTATGGATCTTAATGCCAATGACATAAGATGGCTCTCCTATATCTTTCATATCTAAGTTCTTTGAGATAAATTGTTTTACCTCATATAACATCCCTTTATCATTAGTTGCAAGCAAAGTATCATCCACGTACAACACAAGGAAGCAAATACGACTCCCACTAACCTTTTGGTATATACAGTTATCCAGGACGTTTTCTTCAAAGCCGAATGAATAGATAACATCATGAAATTTCAAATACCATTGGCGGGAGACTTGCTTTAATCCATATGGATTTATTAATCTTACAGACTAAATTTTCTCACCTTCCTCCATCAATAGTCTCTCCCCCTCTTGAACACACATGGTCATCAATTCATTGATGGACCATTTATCTTTATGTGTGTTGTAGGATGTCTTAAACGGACCATATTGATGAGGTAAAGTGCACAAAATATAATGGATAAAAAAGAACTTAGACATGATCAACTCTAAGCTTACAGCTGCGCCACAATGTCCCGCATGCGCATTATGTGCTCGCGCACACCCCTCATATCTGTGAATCTCATGGTGGAGAACTGAATGATCAATGTACTGGCAAGAGCCTTATCAGACTTGACGAATAGTTTGTCAATAGCCTTCAAAAGCTCTCTGACATTATTATGCTGATTAACAAACACACGGATACCATCATAAATTTTGGTCTTTATGAGCATCATAAAAAGACGGTTAGGTCTCTCCCATCGCTCATAAAAACCCACCTTATCTGGCTCGTTGGTTTCAGTAATATCCGGCGACTCGTCTTTCCGAATAGCATAATCAATGTCCATCCAGCCTAAATGAAAGAGGATCATCTCCTTCCGGATTTTGTAATTATCACCAGTCAATTCGGGAATATCACACTTAATGTCAGAGAAATTCATAGGATTAAACGCTCCAAAATTAAATATACATGGTCATCAATAAATGAGATAAATAAATTACATGTTCTACCAATGTAAACATGTTAAGACATGAATCTAAAGACATAAGACTTGCCTGTGGGCTAAAGTTTTACTCAATTAGATTCAAACAAAAAACTTTACAATCAAACTATCAAATTGCGTTCATTTTCTCAATTCCTGTGGGTAGATTAAGAAATACAATTCGATATTTTATCCTAATTACTCATATAAATATAACAAGACTCCTGTGGGTAGATCTCATCACATCGTACATGATAATTGCAATCGATGTCTATTAATTTGATTTCAAATAAATCATAAATAAATTTTTAATTAATTGAGGATGCTGTGGCTATTTTCCAATCAAATAAAATTTAAAATAAATCACAAACATTATGAATATATAATATGAAATCCACATAAATAAACATATGCATGATCATCTCAAACTAATGTAGCAACATACTTCAATTAAAATAAATAAATAAAATAATTGCATAAAGCAACATTTAGAAGCAATGCACGTCACGGGATCCATAATTCAAATTATATCCAAAATCTAACATTCTTTTCATCAACAAAATTAACAATAAAATAAATAAATGTAACGAAAAATCTTATTCCAGTAAATTAGTCTAATAAAATAGATAAATAAAACTAACTGATGACAATCACTTTCGTAACTAATGTTTGCTTTTATATATATATATATATATATATCTTATTGCACTTAATGCTTATTCACATACGAATAAATAAACAAACAAATATTAATGATTGCATGATGGATTTTCAAGAATGAGTTGATTTAGATTGATTCCAAATAATATATATATATATATATATGAGAATATATGATTGCAGATAAATATCATTCGAAATTTAAACATCAATGCAAAGCCTTAATGCGCATAGATTCATGTTTGATTTTTGGTAAATTAATTAACATGTATGCGGCGGAAGTCGGTTACATGAAAAATACGACAATCGATAAACCATGAACTATACAAATCAAATTCCGAGTGCAGATTAATTCATCTCCTATTATATCTCAATAATTCAATACGAAAAAGTTTCCTCAAGGTAATTAATTGCATATACAAGTTGTCACAAATATGAAGGGCACATAAAATATTACAAAAGAATCTGAACATTCCATCGAAACACAGGAAAATTTAGAAATTTAATATTTTGCATAAATTAATTTCAAAATTTTCCCAAAAAACAGAATGAAATTTTTCTCAAATCGCAGGATCGGATCTTGATCAAAAAAGTGATGAGAAGAAAATTCAAAGCAAGGCAGAGACAAAAATTGCTCTGATACTAAATGTTAAAAATAATTATCAAATTGTTAGCGGAAGCGAATAATGATAAAAATTAAATTTGTTCTTGAGATCTTCTTCTTCTAGCAAACAGTAGGTTGGAACCGTGGAAGTGAGAAGATGGTGTTGCCAAACTCCGGAATCCTTAGGAAGATGTTGTCAGATCTTGGAACCCTAGGATGACGTTGCCAAGACTCTCAAATAGCGATGGTGTATTCTAATTTTCTGAGAGTAAGTTTAGTAACCCGTACATGAGAGTATTTATAATTGAAAGAGAAATCGTCCATTACGATTTTTCTGCCACTTCTCACGTATATTTTGAATGTGATGGACTTAACGGGAGAAAAGTAGACTACAAATTATTGTTAGTTTAATTATATTAGATAATATAAAAATAATCAAAATTCAAATATGATTAACTAATTAATTAAACTAACATAATTTGTATTTAACAACTAACAATATCCAAAATTTTATACTATTTTGTTTAACATAATTCTAACAAAATGAAAAATTATAGTTTATACAATATAATTAATTAATATTTTGGTTAGTCCTTTTATACACATTTCTACTAATATTTAGTGTATATCATCAATTAAAACAAAAAACCACATTTTAAACAAACTACAATTTTGATGATAATACGTATAAAAAAAAAAAAAAATGAGGCTGAAAATTCTAATATTGAATGGTGATGCCGATCTATTAGAATTGCAACTCTAAAAAGCCTACGTGTTTTCCTATTGCAAAGGTTATTGTCCACATCGACAATGATATTCTTAAAATCTTCGTTCTCCAAAAAAAAAATATAATTTGGTGGTGTAGGGGTTGAACTTGTGACCGTGAGGTCATGGGTTTAAATTAAACACCCGACGCCTTAGGTCATTTGCCAAACATGGTTCGCCTAGTGTGACTTTTCCGTCGGGCCTGGTTTGCAGGGTATTAGGTTCGGCCGGAGATTTACCCGGTGCGCACTTTCAAGAAGCGGCTGCTGGTTCCCACATCATCCAAAATATATATATATATATAATTTGGTCAGACTAATCTTTCTACCCAAAATTGATAGAGTTACCGAGATCCATTGTGATGCTCTTTTATATTTTTTTTTCCCATTCGCTAATATGATAAAGCTGTGTTCAAACACTTATTTTTTTTAGAAGTAGAAAATAAAAAATTAGAGATTAAAGTGTACAAATTTCTATCCAAAGAAGATAAGCATACATATCAAACTAATTAAAAAATTATCTCAACAATTTTCATAGATATTAATAAAAACAATACAATTATTTATCTCAACAATTTACATAGATATTAATAAAAACAATACAATTATTTTTTTAGAAGTAGAAAATAAAAAATTTAGAGATTAAATTGTACAAATTTCTATCTAAAGAAGATAAGCATACATATCAAACTAATTTAAAAATTATCTCAACAATTTAAATAGATATTAATAAAAACAATACATTTACACAAATGATCAGATACAAATTGAAGAACAAATACAATGCATAAAAAACTTACCACAAAGGAGAATTATTTTATACTCATGAAAAATAAATAAGTAATGTAAATATGAGTGAATAAATGTGAATGTTGGTGAGAAAAATTATGATTGTGTAGTAAAAAACTAGATTAGTGGGAAGATTAGTTATTTAATTATTAAAATAAATTTAAAATATGTGTTTAAATATTTTTAATATTATATTTCAATAAAATATATACAGAAAATAAAATTTTATATAATATAAATAAATAAAAAATATATATTAATTTATTTATTATTATTGTAAATTAGTTTTATAAAAAAATGAGAGTTTTGAAGGTAAATAAAAATATTAATTAATTGAGGATAAATATATAAATAAATGAGTTTTGAGTGGTCAATCTTAGAAATTTAGTTAAATTGATTTATATTCGTTAAGTGTGTTGAAAACTGATAAATTTACTCAAAATAGAAAGATGTCATCTTTCGTAGGACGGACGGGACTGTTGGAGTATAAGATATTTGTTTGTGTATTGACTATATTTTAATTTAATTTTTTTGTTATAGATAAATATATTTAATTGAAAAAATAATTATAATGTTAATAAAAACAATTGATTATATTTCCATTTAACATTGATTGAAAAATAAATAATATTTAGTGATCTATTTCAAGATAATTCATACGTTTGAAATATTTTTTACTGACTTATTGCAAGAAAATTCAAGCTTTAGAAATATTTTATATTACTTATTTTAAAGTAATTTTTACTTTCGAAATATATTTCGTGACTCGTTTTGAGATAATTCAAACTTTCGAAATATTTTTCATTACTTATTTTAAGATAATTTTATTCTCGAAAAATATTTTCCGACTCATTTCGAGCCAATTCGTGCTCTTAGAATATTTTTTGCGCCGCCCCGTAAAGAAAATTCAAAATTTTGGAATATTATGTGACTTATTTCGAGACAATTTCTTCTCGGAATATTTTTGTGTCTTCTTTCGAGATAATTTATACTCTTAAACTATTTTTGTAACTTGTTTTGAGATAATTTATATTCTCATAACATATTTGGTTACATGTTTTTTATACAACACACACTTTTGAATAT